CTCTGGAGCTTAGTGCATGAGCCTCTACTGCATGAGCTAAAAGCCATTTGGTTGTTAGCTAAGGCTGTAGAGCCGAATCATTTCCTCTCTCTCTCTCTAAGTGGTCTTGGTGCCACTAAATGGGACAGAACACAACACCCAGGAGGGTCAAACAGCAGTAGACCAAACCACACTAAGAAATGTTTAGTGCGCAGTTGAGGTTCCACCTGGCTAGTTAGTGTGCAGTAAGCCTGTGTGCTGTACAGTCACACCTCAACTTGCCATACATTAGCTTTCTGTACAGACGAGCTCTGAGTGCAGGTATGAGGTTCTTGAACTCAGCATAGTAAGAAAAGGGTTCAGGGGTGCAGCTGTACTGTTGATGTCAAGAGAGCAAATATTAAGAAATTAGGAAATCTTATGAGTAAGGTAAAGTGACAGGAAGTATTAAAATCCAAGAGTGCAGAATAAGGCGGGGGAATCCAAAAAGATCCTATATATAAGGGCCAACAGGGTACGCAAGAACTCTTGGGTCAGGTTCTATGGCCTGTGTTATGCAGGAGGTCAGACTAAATTGTCAAAATGGTCCCATCTGGCCTCAAAATCTATGAATAGACTCCAGATCCTCTTAAAAAACAAAAATCCATGAAATAAGAATTGGCCAGAGTGGCTGCGCAAGGAGGCGTTTAAAGACCTGAGATTTTAAAAAATAGAAAAGTGGGGAGGTAAGCAAACAAGAATCCAGTCATAGCAGGCTTGCAGGGAAAATATTAAGGACAGAAAAAAAAAAAAAAAGCAGGGGGAATGAATTCATGATAGCCAGGGGGCACTAAGGAGAATTAGAAGAGCTTTTTATTTATATACGGGAAGAGGCAGAAGTTGTACAAAGGAGAATGTAGGTCTATTAATAAATGAAATGAGAAGAAATTAATTATTCAGAAATGGCTGCAAGACAGAACTCCTTTTTAATTGTCTTCATAGAGAAAATAATACAATGGAAAGTTGAACAATTAGTCTGAATATTCTAACAGTGAGGGTGATTAACCACTGGAACAAACTACCATCTCTGGAGGTCTTCAGATCAAGACTGGGTGGCTTTCTGGAAAACATGTTTTAGTCAAATACAGGTTATTGGGCTCAGCACAGGGTACCTGAGTGAAATTCTCTGCACTCTGTTATACAGAAGGTCAGGCTAGATGATTTAACAGTTCCTTCTGTCCTTAAAGCCTATGAATCTAGGTCTGTGCCTTGGAAGCACAAACCTGTTTCGGAGGTTATGGAAAGTCACTTCCATCCCAGCAGAAGCTCTGGAAAGGTAATAGACTCCTGAGCAGTAAACAGCTTGGGTTTATAAAGAAAACATCCTAACAGCTTAATCTGATGGTGGGTGGGAGGGGGCTTACAAAATTAGTGAATAAAGGAAATACAGGCTGAGATTTTTCATAGGTGTCAAAGGGATTTGGATACCTAATTCCCACTAAAATTGGTACCCAAATCTCATACAAAGACTGTTCTGAAAATCTCAAACTGTAGTATACATGGATTTTGGTTAAGCATTTGATTACATAAGAACATAGTAATGGCCACACTGGGTCAGACCAATGGTCCATCTAGTTCACTATACTGTTTTATGACAGTGGCCAGTGTCAGATGCTTCTGAGAGAATGAACAGAACAGGGAAAATAACAAGTGATCCATCCCCTGTCGTCCACTCCCAGATTCTGGCAGTCAGAGGTTGATGGACACCCAGAGCATGGAGTTGCACCTATCCTTCATAAACTTATCTAATTCTTTTTTGAATTCAATTATACTTTTGGCCTTCACAACATCCCCTGACGAGGAGGGCCACAGGTTGAGTGTGCATTGTGTAAAGAAGTACTTCCTTTTCTTTGTTTAAATCTGCTGCCTATTAATTTAATTGGGTGACCACTGGTTCTTGTGTTACGTGAAGGGGTAAATAACACTTCTTTATTCACTTTCTCCACGCCATTCATGGTTTTATAGACCTCTATCATATCCCTCATTAATTGTCTCTTTTTTCTAAAATGAACAGTCCCAGTGTTATTAATCTCTCCTCTTATGTAAGCTGTTCCACAACCCTCGACATTTTTGTTGGCCTTCTCTGAAACTTTTCCAACTCTAATATATTTTGTTTGAGCTGGGGAGACCAGCGCGGCACACAGTATTCAAGGTGTGGGTGTGCTATGGATTTACATAGTGGCATTATGATATTTTATACCTTATTATCTATCCCTTTCCTAATGGTTCCTAACATTGTTAGCTTTTTTGACTGCAGCTGCACATTGAATGGATGGGTTCAGAGAACTGTCCCTGGGTCGGCTCTAGGCACCAGCTAAGGAAGCTGGTGCCTGGGGCAGCAAATCAGAAGGGGCAGCACTCCAGCTGTTCTTGGGGCGGCACTCCGGTGGGGTTTTTTTTTAAATTATTTTTTCCTTCCTCGGCGGCACTTTGGCAGCAGCTTTTTTATTTTTTCTTCTTCGATGGCCATTTTTTTTTTTTTTGATTCACTGCTTGGGGCGGCATAAAAGGTAGAGCTGGCCCTGAACTGTCCACAGTGACTCCAAGGTCTCTTTCTTGAGTGGTAACAGCTAGTTTAGACCCCATCATTTTGTAGGTATAGTTGGGATAGTGTTTTCCAGTGTGTGCATTACTTTCCTCTGATCAACACTGAATTTCAATTGCCATTTTGTTGCCCAGTCACCCAGTTTTGTGAAATCCCTTTGTAAATCTTTGCAGTCAGCTTTGGACTTAACTATCTTGTGTAATTTTGTATCATCTGCCAATTTTGCCACTTCTGGCTAAAATTTTCATAAGCGCCCCAAGTGTTTTAGATGCCTAAACAATTTTTATTGATTTTCAATTAATTGTGCTGATTTATACCCTCTGAGTATCTGGTCCTTAATCTCTGTAATATGGGGGTAATAATACTTCTCTATCTCACAAAGTGGTTAGGAGGATAAATTCAATAACATTTGTGAGGTGCTCATATATGATGGTCATTAGTGCCATAGAAAACCCTGTAAACAGTGTACAAGTATCAAAATGTGTAAAGATTAAAACTCAAGAAAAATTACTGAAAGTGATACACAGACTTACAACTAGGAGTGATAGGATGAAATTAAAAAAGGGAAAATAGAGGTGGAATCTCACACAAACCTCATGACAGTGAGATCTATCCATCAACCAGCAGAATAGGCCAAAGTGCCTTCAGCAAATATGTTATCCTGTCCCTGGACCATGAACTGTCTTCTAATGAAGCGGCTATTTCTTTATGAGAACCTGAGTGCATTTCGTCTTTCTGCATCCAACATGACAAAGAACTCAGACACTTACAGCTGTCTATAATCTGAAGTGTGACATTCCTCTCAGAGAGGTGGAAAAGTCATGTTTTTTTTTTTATTTTGAAAGGTAATTGCAGAGTTGCTTTGGAGTTTTAAAATAGATTGTATTAAGTCTAATTAAATAGGCCCCTAATATTTCTCTTAAAATTTTAAAACATTAAAAAAATTATACTAATATAATCACATAAAAGATAAAATAGCCACAAAAGCCATAACTGTTCATGTTACCATTGAACAGTTAAGGCTTGAGCTAACCTCTCACAGGACCAAATTTTGATTCCCTAAATAAGTGAATACTTTGAAAAATTCCTATTGAAGTAACTCAAATTCCCATTTCTTTCTGATCTCAAATAGTTAGTGGTTGGCTAATCCCCTGAAACATGAGAGTTTGTATCTAAGTGTTTATCCTATCTGGGAACATTTGGTCAGGCAAACTTCCGCTGAACTCAGTGATTATGATTCAGTTTTTATTCAGTACTTTCTCAGGCAAACTCTCACTGACTTAAATGGAAGTTAGCCTGAGTAAATGTTTGTAGATTGGATAAACATTTAAAACCTAATATCCAGATAGGGATACAAAATAAGGGACATATAAACCACAGACTACATGGGATTAGGAAGAAACTTTCCCTGTGGGAAGGTAGTTCCATAATTATCCACTATAGGGTTTCTCTGAAGCATCTAGTACTGTCTACTGCAGCAGGCCTGATACATTGGGCTAGCTGGGCTGATCCAGTATGGCAATTTCTGGGATTTGTCTCCAGGATGTTAGTTTTATGATATTTTTTCCCTTTTTCTTTTTTTCACTTATCTACTTACATTACTTAATTGCTCTAAATGTAAAGTCCTCTTTTTGTTTTCTTTATAGTTTTACTTAGACTGCAAGCTTTTTGGGGAAGGGACTGTCTTTTTGTTCTGGATTTGTACAGCGCCTAGCACAATGGGGTCCTGGTCCATGACTGGGATTCTTGGACACTACCACAACACTCTACTAATAATAATTTTGAAACAGGAATGATAGTCAAGGTGAAGGCATACTAATATCTAAGGGCAAATTTAGAAAAGTAGAAGCCTCTGTGAGCCCAAAGTACAGCATGCACAAGCTCATGTTTACGCACATCTGTGGGCCTGATTCAGGGAAGCACTGAAGCATGTGCTTAAATTTAAGGATGTGCTGAAGTCCCATTGACTTCAACAGACCTTAAGGATAAGCATAAAATTAATCACGTGGGTAAGTGCTATCATGAAAAGGGAAGTTTTCCTGAACTGGGGCCTGTATAGGCAGCTGCCACAATTATGCATGTAAGTTTAAGTAACTGCAAGTACAAATGGATAGCTGGACACCTGGCTGCTCTTTTGCACATGCAATTAATAATAATACTTCATTCTTATCTAGCATTTTTATATGTAGCTCTCAATCAGCTTTACAAAAGGAGGTCAGCATTATTACCCCCATTTTACAGATGTAAAATTGCTTTCCATTACAGGTACACCTGTATGCATGTTTTCCAGGTGAACCTCTGCCTCCTTTCTTCAAACCTTTGGCCCTCAAAGTTTCAAGGCTAAGTCTAAACAGTTTATTGGGGTTGTTTCATGGTTTAAAAATCTCCAATCCCACCCTCTGGTCTCATAGCTTTATGCATTCAAACAAAGACATACCTGAGAGTGAAAAACTTATTAGTCTCCGACTTCCTTGACTCTGGACCGGATCTTCACTGGTGATGCTTTTAAAAATCTGCTGGAAGAAGGAAAATGGTGAGATAGCTGCCTCCAATGATTCTTGAACAGAAAACTGACTTAATAACTGTTATTTCTGCTGTCATCAACAACTGAGAATCAATGACATGCTTTCATTAGGAAACTATCGATCAAAACAATTTTATCAGTAAAGTAAGAAACCAGCCACAAGGGAGCTCCTTTTCACAGAAATGAAAAACTATGCAAGAAATTACTGTAATCTTATAAGTGTTTTGTGGTAATAAAAAGAGTACTTCCTCAGTGGAATATCTGTAAACAGTAACTGCTTAGTAAACAAAAAATGAATGAAGTTCATAAAGACAGGTATGTTGCCCCTAACTCTAATAGAAAACTCTGGTCTCAACAAAATGAAATGTAAATCTCTGTAGTTCAATTATTCTAGTGACTCTTCAGCTGATGGCCATGAACCTGTATTTATATTTATGGGTTACATAAACATAATTATTAATCCCATGAAAAAAGCAGCAATTATGAAATACTGCGGTGACAAATGTACAGGGGATGTCTGAAGAAGCAAGAGCTACAGTATATGATCATTTGAGCTTGTTTAATAGACAGAATCTTCAAAAAGTGGGCCCTGTTGGGCTTGACTTTTGGACAGCATGTTTCTTGCACACCACTAATTTGAATGTGGGAATAACTCTCTTTTTCTCAACCCCATCTATACCTTTTAGACAATAGTGGGTTTTTCTTCATGAACCTGAACAGCTCCTGTTTTAATTTAAAAAGATTGTATTTGCTTGAAATGTGTCAGTGGCAGGAGAGAAGGGAATTGCTCTGTTGCTGACTTTATGCTCAGGACACAACAGAGTAGTTTGCCAGCTGGTGCTAAAAACTGGGACATTGTCACAGCTAAGAAAATAAATCCTTTACCATCTCTTTCTGGATCAAGCTGAGGAAAGCACAGGAGGAACAGGAAGATCTGTGCATGGGGAATCAATCTGCTGACTGCAAGACTTTAAATAGGAGTTGAAAAAACTGGGAGAAGTGGGCCCACTGACACACAAGTAGAGAAGATGGGGGAGTTGAGCTGCTAGCAGAATGGCCCACCGGCCACTTCTCCTTTGATCCTCAGAATGGTATCAATTTCCCCTTAGCTGGTTTCAACCCTTGAAATGGTATTCAACTCAGTGGCGGGAGCATGTTCCACACACCATCTAGCTCCTTCACCTTCCTCCAGAAACATACCGGTAATCGGAGTGAAGTGATTCATAGATTTTAAGGCTAGAAGGGACCATTATAATAATCTAGTCTGACCCTCTTGAAGAACACAGGCCTTAAAACAGGGGTTTCAAACACGTGGCCCGCAGGCTCCATGTGGCCCACAGAGTTATTTGCTGCGGCCCGCCAAGCTCCCCACGCCCTCCTGCCCCCCCAAGTTATTTCCTGTGGCCGCCAAGCTCCCCTCACCCGCCACTCCACCCCCCACAGCGCCCTGCGTCCCTGCTCCTCTGCCTACCTCCAGGAGCTTCCAGCCGCCAAACAGCTGCTTGGCGGCGCTTAGCGTTTTCCAGGAGGGAGGGGGAAGGAGCGGGGAGCCATGTGCTCAGGGGAGGAGGCAGAGAAGAGGCAGGGCAGGGGCAGGGATTTGGGAAAAGGGCTGGAATGGGGAGTGGAAAGAGGCAGGGCAGGGGCGGGGCCTCATGGAAGGTGTGGAGTGGGGGTGGGGCCGGAGGCAGCATGGGAAAGGTGTCAGTGATGCGGCCCTCGGGCCAATGTACTAGTCCTCATGTGACCCTCATGGTGATTTGAGTTTGAGACCCCTGCCTTAGAACCTTACCCAGTAATTTCTGCATCTAGCCCATAGCTTCTATCTGAGCTCTAGCATATCTTTTAGAAAGACATCCAGTCTTGATTTAGAAATCTCAAGTGGTGAAGAATCCATCACATCCCTAAGTAAGTTGTTCCATTGCTTAGTTACCTTCACCGTTAAAAGTTAGCATCTTATTTCTAGTCTGAATTTGTCTAGCTTCAGCTTCCAATCCCAGCCTTTTATTATGCCATTGTCTACTAGATTAAAGAACTGTCTATCGGAAATATCTTCCCCATGAAGGTACTTGCAGACCATGATCAACTCATATTTTTAACCTTCTTTTGGATAAATGGAAACTTTTAACTCTCTCACTATCAAGCATGTTTTCCAAACCTCACATCTTCCTTGTAGCCCTTTCTGAATGCTTTCCAATTTTTCAATATCCTTCCTGAACATTCTTTCTAAACGGGTGAAACCCACCCCTCTGTGTAGGGACAATAAAAGGACTATTTTTACGTATTGCATAGGCCTCATGCTGGCCTGTGCACATGGGATAAATGCCACCCAATATGAATTGTTCAATATCACATAGATATACATTGAGAAAAGTACTAGGAAGGTGGGAATAATATTTTTTTTTAAAAAGTAGATTCTTCAAGAAGTGAGAATGGGGAGAAAAAACCTAATCCAAAGCATGACTTGATTCAGCTGCTTACATAAACAAAGCTGTGCACACAGGTGCTCTTTCCTCTACTGTTTGGCAAGTCATGCTCTTCTTGTTTGCATTTCTGTCTGACTGAAGGTTATGTTTTCAGAGGACTAAACTGGGCATCTTGGGAACGGACCTTGGTGCTTTTGAAAATCCCACTAGGTGCCTGAATACCTTTGGAAATGTGGCCCTGGGGCACTTTTTAAAATGGGACTTAAATACTTTGGAAAATTTTATCCAAAGTTTCTAGAAACCAGAATGACGGGTGCATTGAAGTTTGATTAGATAGACAGCATAGATATGGCCTGCAGAGAATGATAATTTTAAAAGGTCAGGGGCCCAGTCCTTAGTTTTTGTCCTCCATTATTCTAGCTGAGAGAGAGAGAGAGAGACAGACAGAGAGAGAGAGAGCGCGTGTGCACAATGGGAGTAGGAGATTAAATGAAGCTAAAAATACATTAAATACTTTCCTAATATCACTCTTCCCTGGAACCAAATTCTGTAAACTCCTGATCTATTACATTAGGGCCCAATCTTTCAGCTCTTACTGAAAAAAAATTCCGAAGTACATCAATGGGAGTATTGTCTGAATAAGGGCTACTGAATTGAGTCCCTAATTAAAGACTTCAAAAGCTTTCTAAAATACCTCTTTACAGATCCTTCTGGGATAGGCCCTCATGGTTAGAAATATAGTATTAGCAGTGTAAACTGAAGAAAAGTTTTCCATTTTCATCCCCCACACTGATGACAACATCTCCCTATACTGTTTCTCACACTGCGTTTCTTATGGGCTGGTTTACACTAACACTGTAAGTTGGTCGAAGTTACGCTAGTTCAGTCATGTAAATTACATAACTGAAGTAGACGTAACTTAGGTTGGCTTACAGCAGTGTCTCCACCTCTCAGGGAGGTGGAGTACAGACATCGACAGTAGAGTACTCTCCCATCGACTTAGCGTGTCTTCACCAGACCCGCTAAATCAACACCACTGCATCAATCGCAACAGTGCCGATTTAGCTGGTAGTATAGACATGGCCTATATTTTGTATATTGTGCGGCCATCATGATCATTCTAAAAGGCCCACTGACATGCAGTAGGATTAATATTTATTTAAAACATGACTATATCTATACATCCAGAACTACAAAATAACACAGCATATTATTTTTCCTACACACTTGTACCACAGGCCATGATGACTCTAAAAGAAACTGTATGGCATAGCTTATCAGTGTGTAATACACATCTCTCTCCAGAGAAACATATTTGGCCCTTAGTTACATGCAGCTGAAGAAACTGTTTTAGCTCAAGTGTAAGAGAGATGTAGTTTTGGTGTTAAACTTGGTGATTCCAACTTCGATCCTTTCTGACTATTGTGGCTGGATGCAGCCTGCTGTGTATGTATAGTAAGACTGCTACATATAGTGGTCACCATTTACATTGATCAACCACTACCACATAGTGGTCTCTCACACAGCTTAATATTTCTGGACCCATATTTTCAGGAGTCTCTGTTTCAAGCTATGCAGTAGTTTTCTAAGACCATATCAAAGTATTCAACTTCAATATAGCACACGTGAAAGAAAGTCAGAAATTACAGCAGTAAATCTATGATCTGCTTACTCTTTTTATAAAACAGTTCCGTGCCTTAAGAGCCAAAGACTAGTTACAAAAGTGATAATTACAATAACTTGTTTTTCACACCCAAATCCTAATCTTGGTCACAAGTAAAAAGTGCATTTGGTAGTCTTGACTCAATCCCAATTTGCACATCTCCAAAAGAAAACAAGAAACAAAATGTGTGATGGCAGGTGAGGGCTGAGATGTATTGTTGGCACCATTGGGTAAGGGGGAAACTTGCCCAAACGGCAGCCTGCACTATGCTTGGTTCATGCTTGTGCGATCTTTCTCCACTTTTCAAGAGCATTAAATTGGCTCACAAATTTAAAATGAAATAAATAAAACTAAACTTAAGAGTCTGAATTAAATGGACACAGAAAAGAAAGGAGCTGGGTATGTCACTTTGTCCTCTGCTCACCTGCTTCTATTTGGATCTAACAGTTCACCTGGGATGTACAGTCACTGGCTGTTCTGAAAGCCCGACAATGCACAGGCACAGAAAGTGAGATAAGGGCCAGACTTCACTGTGAATTTCTTTATTGATATCAGTTTAAGTCAGACCATTACTGTTATTTTAACAGAGCTGCGTATGCACTGTACAGGAATCAAGAAAGTTCCTTGCCTGACTTCCCTCCCCTAATCCGTTGTTCTGCCTTCTTTTCCTTTTTCCCCTGCTAATTTCACTGCACTTTTGAAATTAACAGAGTAGTGTACACAGTATCATATGGAGACCAGGTGATACTGCTAACAAGTCAGATGTGAAGAGGTCTTTCCAGGGTAAAAGAAAGTAAGATGACTTAGTGTCATAAATATAAAGGGAAGGGTAAACCCCTTTGAAATCCCTCCTGGCCAGGGGAAAGCTCCTCTCACCTGTAAAGGGTTAAGAAGCTAAAG